AATTTTTCGATGTACTTACTTACTATCTGCTGCCATGTTGGATCACACAAACTGGGTGATATGTTAACAGGTAAGATTCAGCAATGTAAAGAACTTGCCTGTACAGCGCTGCTTTCTAAAGATCTGTTGCCACAAATAAGAGTTTTTACAGCAACAGAGAAATATCTCCAACACTATTCAAATATTTACATGATGCCTACAGACCTTGTCCTCAAGGTTATTCCCCCATTAAAATGATTCATTTGTTTGCAAATCCAGCCAGAATTGGGCAGATCTCTGTAAACAGCCCCACAATTCTTAATCCCACCCTCCACAAGCTGGAAGGTAACAATTGCTCGTTGCATTACTTCTGCTATCAGTCAGTAAGCATTTTCTATCACTATTCACCCCATTGTTTTCATGCTCACATATTCAATGGTAGCTAGTGCTTGGTGCTGGAGCAGAGATGCTTAACATAATAACGTCAATGGAGCACCAGCGTGATTGCCAGTGCCACACAAAACTGAGTTACACATTGATGAAATATTTCAATACAACAACAATACAGACCATCTTGATTTAGTTTCCCAATTAACCTCAACAGAGAATTTACTTTACAAATCAGTAGGTGATTTTATGTCAGTGAGTAAATTTACTGATCTTGGCATGAAATGCACATTATTTGATATCAGTCCTAAATTTAGTGACTGGCAGAGAATTACCATGACAGTCTTTAATCAATCAGCCATACTTTTGCTGCAGTGCCATCATTTTTAGGCCACCATGTTGCAGTTACAGATGCCTTCAATCCTCCAGCATTATTATTCCACACATAAAGCCTGAAATTCCAACTTGCCTTAACCTGTAAGACCAACTTGTCTTAAAATTAAAAATTGCGCAGAATTGTGGAAAACTTTCAAATTAATTCTTAATTTGGAACACAGTATGCTGTAAGAATGGAGATGTGTTTTTGCAATTCTGCACGATCTTCTGAAGTGTTAAGACAAAAAAGCCTCATAGGCTAAGACTAGGTGGAATTTTGACCCTACAAATATTTTGTATGCGTGACATACAGAATACGTTTACAGACCCATTATATTCGCAGCACATAAAAATTGTTGTCATGAATCATTTACTTGTTTTGTTTCAGAATAATTAGGATTTTATTTCAGAAAATATGGCACATTAAAGTTACCCTGAGGCTGGAAACGTTCTTCGGAGCTGTCTTTTTAAATTGCGCTGGTATTCAAATGATTCTTGCAGTGGTATACAATGGAGTCATATATTATCCATCAAGTACAGTACATGCCTCAGTAACTGAGAGTTGGTCATGCAACCTGTTTCATTAAGTGAGCCTTTACACTTTACCTTTCTTCTATGTTAGAATGGACATTTAGAATTACAATAATGTGTCAATAATGACAACAATGATGTAGCCAAATTCTCATTACTTGCATAATTTTCAGTGTAACGAGCCACAGCCTTTTTTTAAGCACATAATGTTTTTCATAGCCCATTTTAGACAAATGTTAAGTTACAATGTTGAAGCTGATATAGTTTATGTAACAACAAATAAAGTGTGTGAAGTAAAGGAACTCTTCAATGGAACACTGCCATAATTCTCCCTCCATCACCCCCCCAAACCCCCTGTTCCTTCATAGACACATTCTGCATAACACTTCTTAAAAAAATCTCACACATCTTATGCCAATGCACAAAGTATTTTTTAACTTTGCTTAACGGCGCTGATTTTCCAGATTTACTAATCTGCAACAGCAGCTGCTTGGAATCCAGGTGAATTTTGAATGTGTCCAGGTAGCCTCCTGAACCCTGAACCAACTTACGATGTTAAGCTTCTAAAGCATGAAAAGACACGACAAAGCAATCATCACAGTATAGCGCTCGCTAAAGTAACAAATGATGTCCTCTATGACCCAGGCTCCCTTTGCCTCCTCGTTCTTCTGGACCTCTCTGCCATGTTTGACACAGTCGATCGTGCCATTCTCCACTACTGTCTCTCCTCCCCATCTACCTTAGTGGGACCCCACTCGCATGGTTCGACCGTCAATTCTACTTAACGAACCATCAACAATACATCTCAGCAAATGTATTTTTCCTCCCGCCCCTGCCCAGTCACCTGCAGGGTACCCTAAGACTCCATCCTCGGCCCCCTTCTTTTCCTTATCTACATGCCAGGTTCCACTCGCTCCCAATTACTAAATGGATCAATTTCAAGATCCTCTCACTCATTTTCAAATCCTTTTATGCACCTCCCTACCTATCCAATCCGCTTACCCCCAACTCCACCACCCGCTGCCACCGCTCAGCTGGCTCTGGCCTTCTGCTCACCCCTCGTCCCCTCCTCTCCACCATCGGTAGCCTTCAGCCACTACACCCTGAAACTCTGGAGCTCTGGAGCTCTCTCCCTCAGTCCTACCGCCTTGCCCCCTCCCTCCCCACTGTCAAATCCCACCTAAAAACCCCTCTACTCAATGCCTTCAACCACTCCGCCCCAAACTCTGGAATTCTCTCGCTCAATCCCTGTGCCTTGGCCCTCGCTCTCCACTTTCAAATTATTTGGATTGTGTTTTTGGTCACCTCCCCACTCCCTCTCCCCCTGGCAGACTCTGCCTCTGTCAAGTTATTGTTGTATTACTTCATTATCTTCACATTACACTATCAAGCAGTTGAGCCTTTTCTTAAATGAATCTAGTGTCCTGGCATTAACTGTCGTGTGGTACTCCATTCTAGATGTGTGTAAAGAAATACTTTGCAATGTCTGTCCTAAACTTGCTCTTGATAATTCTGAACCTCAGTGTAATCCTGTCCTCATTTAACATCCACATATACCCTGTTTCCAGCAGACAGTGCATGGATTGCAAACAGGAGCAGGAACCATTCCTTACTTCCTGCTTATTTTCCAGGAAGCCATGGCAATGGCTGAGGTCATTTGTAGCTCCTGCCCTGGGGCAATGTTTCACATCAGGTGACAAAGGACAAGGTTATATTAAAATAAGTAATAGCATTTTTCTTGAAAAAATTAATGGAACATTTGGCTTTACAAACTGTTTGTGGGACATTGCTGTGCGCAAATTGGTTGTTGATTTCGCGTACAAAATACACAGTTTTTACACTTCACATTTGTGAAGTGCTTTGAAATGTCCTCCTGACATAAATGGTGCTATATCAGATGCAAGGATATTATTTATTATTGTCTATCTAAGTCTGGCAAACATGTTGGTTCTGTGCTATTAAAAACCGGTGCAAAGAATTACAAAGCTAACCAACGTTACTGAACGCTTGACATGTTTGAGTTTAGGGAATTTTAAGGCAGGTCCGAGAAATTAAAAGTAAGCTTGCAATAATAATTCCTGCTTGTTGGATTTTTTTTCCCACACACAATTGTAGCAGATTTATAGTTTATTTATCCCGTAGTTTTAATTTATTGTCTTCAGTCATTTAGAAAGATAACTCTCAAATCAAATAGAACTGTGCCGTTTCCTCATTAGGGTGTTGAATGAAAGAACACATTTCATTGCAAACTATCACCTTTATCACCTTGTGATAGATCAGCTGCCAGAAAGGAGGGACAGACCATTGCCTATTCACTTCGTAAGGGTTTCAGGCACCTTAATGCGCAGGCTAATACCATTACTAAGGATCTACTCGAGATAACGTTGACATTATAAAATTCTAGTGGATGTTTGCTGCAGATGTTATTGAATATGCAGTTGATTAATAGCTGGTAAAAGTTGGTTGCTTTCATGCTGTGCGTCATTCTATGTGGGCTATGCTTAACAAGACAAATTAGTGCAGCCGCTGTTGAATCTTTCATTACGCCTGAGGTTTCCAAGACTCTGAAAACAATCATGAAGCCCGCTTCTGAAATTATCCTACCCACTCCCACGCCCCCCACCAAAAAAATAGACTGCCATTCAAATAAATGGAACAGAATGTAATTAAACTATGGTGTGACGGACCACTGAAGTCCATTTGTCAAAATGTTACAAAATAATGTAGTGGATTGAATGTCGGGCAAGAGAAATTGGCAACAGCTATTTTTTGTAATTACAACAGTGCATTGTTGGAGGCAAAATGATCATCACAGAAACAATCACTGGCACAAACGTGTGGCAGAGTAAAATTGTCCTATCATAGCATCATAGAATTTTACAGCACAGAAAGAGGCCATTTTGCCCATCATACCTGTCCCGACTCTTTGAAAGAACTACCAACTAGTCCTAATCCCCCACTCTTAGCTCATAGCCATGCTGTCAGCAACCCTCCTGCCCTCCTTGTTCTCCACTCCTCCTTATCCCAAACCCCTGCTTGGGTCCAAATCCCTGCCTGTCGAGCACCTTGGGACATCCTATCGATGTGAAAGGCGCTATACAAATACAATTTTGTATTGTATTGTAACTACAACAACAACAAGATTAGATTTGTATAATGCCTTTCACGTCAGGAGGACGTATTAATTATAGAATTCTGCTCAGGAAAAGGTAAAAATTATGTTTACTGATTAAAACTCTGAGGGAGGAAAAGTACAACTCAGTCAATGACAAGAGCCACATAGAAAAGCAAGATTGGGAAGCAATAATGAATAATAAATTACAGTTGCAAAGTCAGGTTCATTTAAAGGTAAAGTCAGGTCGATTTACGTTATGAAGAAAATCCAGATCAATCGAGGCCCATTGAAGTGCAGCAATGAAATTACTTGAGAAATTGACTGATTAAAATAAATTGAGATTTTGGTGAATTGAAAGGATATAAGGTTACTTAAATTTGTGACCTTGCGGTGAAGTAAGGTCTGACACAAATTCTTCAATCAATTGATATTTATTAATACTAATTAGTAAAGAAATGCATATCAAAGTTGTACATTTCAGCAAATTAAATTAATGCTTACGATAAGCTAGTAAAGTTCACTGCAATGAATTGATCAGACAAATACAATAGCTTTGATGAGGAATCGGCTTGTTAATCCATGTTGATTGTAATATATTCCTCTTTCCTCCAAATTATTCTGACACAGATTCAACCTCCATTGTGTAGCTAACATCAAAATCTTATCAACGATGATGTTGAAACTTTGTGCTCTGTAAACATACTTTCACTGTTCACAACGGCAGCTTTCCTGAGTCTCCGTGATTTTTCTTTGGTCAACTCAAGCAATCCAGAATTCTGGGATTACAAGGATAATGCGGAAGAAAAGGAAAAAAAATTACTAGTTGTTGTTTTGCTTTGCTAAATAATATGCATGGTGCGTCCTAAACATTGGGAATCAAACTTGAATTCCAGGGGCATAGTTTAGTCATTGAGCATCATAACTCCAGCACAGCTTTGCATATGTAAGAGACATCACTCTGCACACCACCTCCATGCTCTATGCTGTACACAATCAATTTTATATTCATGGATTTTGCTGATCAGTTTTTAAAATATGAAACAAAATAGCTCTATTCCAGTCTTAACGAGATGTAACTGCATAAAATATTACTGTACTGCATTAAATTTAACAATATGACTGTTGCCCAATATTTTCAAATATATTGGACAGAAACATTTTTCTGATTGATGAGTATGCAACCGAGTAACCATAAACATATCGGAACACAAGCTGTTATTTACGAGTTTTCTGTTCAAAACAGTCATTGCAGTTGGTATCAGCGAGTTATTCCTGCATACATTTGATAGCCTATAATTTTTAAGATTGCTAAAGAAACAAAAAAGTTTAAAATTCTGAATATGGCATTTTTTTTAACTCAGAACAAATGAACTTAATTTACCACCAATGATAAAATTCTTGTCCGGTCGTTACATTGAGTTATGTGCCTCTGTAGTTACCTCCAATAGATTTTTCCATCATAATCAACACTGGAGAATAAAAATTCCACCTGGGTGTCGATCTTTACTCCATTAAGGTGACATTTCAGAGCATGCGAAATTTGTCAAATTGTAAAATGCAATCTTTCAACTAAACAATATGGTCAAATTTGGAAATCATTTTTCTGTAAGATTATTTTAAAAAAGACAACCTCAGAAAACAGGCTTCAAAGTTGAAACTGAACTCAACAATTTGCTGAATTCTGCACACTCTGAAATGTTACTTTAATCGAGTAAATCTAGACTCAGATGGAATTTTACCCCATGCATTTTATTTTAGAACAGAAACTGTTGCATTTTCAGTCCTGTTATTGATGATTTTCTGGGATCTAAAATGTGAGATTCATAAGCTGCAGTCACAAATTGTGATTTCTGTGTGTGTGCCTCAGAGTCCCGCAGACAGTCTCCCCCAACATGATCTATTTCAGGGAAATCATTGGCCAGTTTTTGAATGTTTGAAGGATATTTTCAGTTTGGGAACCTCAATGGCAGAGCGAGAGAACATAAACTCACATCCACGATTTCTTGCACAATAAGTTTCCAATTTCTGTGCTGTCAAGAGAAGGTGCCAGACAGGCCATAGACACAAAGGGGAAGAGATCATTCAAGTCATCACCCCAGATTATTCCTGTGTACCTGTTACATTTTACAGAATAAAAAAATTGAAACATTCTGTTGGTCAAAGAATCATATAAAATCAAGAATTCTTAATTGTGAATTACTTAGAGTAGTAGGAAAACTCACACCAACAATAAACTGCACTTATGTAGCATTTTTCAACAACAACAATTGCCATTAATGTAGCACCTTTGATGTCAGGGGTATGTTTCAAAGTGCCTCACAAAGCTGACTGGGAGTATGAGCTGGGCATGAGGACAATAGTATGTGTGTATGTGTGAGTGTGTGTGTCCGTGGGGAGAGGGAACAAAGTGACCAAAACCATTGTTGAAAAGAAAGGTTTTAAGGTGGGCTTTAAAGGTGGGAGGTAGGGAGAGAGGCTCTAGAATGGCTCACCATAGGATGAGCATCTTGACATGCTTCATGAATGAACATTGTATCTTCCAGGTAAAGCACACAGGCAAAAAGTTTAACATTAATCTTGTGGCAGACTTTTGCTGGAAGATCTGAGAGCTGGCACTCAGAATTGCAGTCACCAGAACAGTAAAGAACGATAAACAACGCCAGCACTCGACTGTATTCATCAACTGGTGCACGTCACATGAAATTCTGACCACCATCTAATTTGTTCTAACACAGCATCTCATCCTTAGGCTCAAGAAGTCTCTTGCCTCCCCAGCCTTTACGTCACTATCACAGAGGATTTCCACTCTGCACCCTTTTCACCTTTGCCATCTCAAAGTTGATACTGTTGAATCAATAAGTGCCACATTCATAGCACTTTTGTATAATGGATTGACTGGGAACTGGATTGAAACTGCCAGAACTGATTTAACAAAAAAGTAGAAGAATTTTATTATCCCCCATATTCTGGCTGTAATTTGAACCCAACGTCTCATGAGGTGAAAGGATAGTATAACAATGATCTAACACATTACATTTCCTGGGCCCTATGGGAAGAGTTTGTTAAATATAGGCTTTCTGACAGGTTGGCTGAGAGGCAATTGGAAGCTGAATATATATGTTTTAGCTATAAATTTGTTAATTAATAGGACAGAAACAGATACCATTTGACATTCTGTGACATAGCTTTCTTCCAGGAGTAAATGGAAATTACAAAACAGAATTAATGCACGAGTAATCTGTCCCAAGTAGATATCTGCAGCAAAAAATAGTGACTCTTTTACAATCTATATATGTACACAATGAAGTTATGCAAAACAAAGGTGGTTAAAAAGATGACTAATGTAAGGGAGCAGTGAAGGAGGAAGGAAACAAAACCAGATTTTGTTTGTGTATTAGACAAATAAGAATAACAGGAATGAAAATGCAACAATATCCCGAGGATATATGACCTTCCTTATCCTGTGTTTGGAGAAAATATTTCCACTGGCGGGTGGGTCGTAACCCGAGGACACCAATTTAAAATAGTTGTTAAAGAAACAGAGGGGAGGTGAAGAGAATTTTTTTCACACAGTGAATTGTTCGGATCTGGAATGCATTGCCTGAATGAATCGGTGGAAGCCGATTCGATAACAACTTTTAAGAGAGAAATGGATAATTATTTGGGGTGGACAAGTTTGCAAGGCTATGGGGAGAGAGCGGGGGATTGGGATTGATTTGGATAGTTCTTTTCAAAGAGTCGGCACAGATCTGATGGGCTGAATGGCCTCCTTCTGTGCTGTATAATTCTATGATTCTATGATTTGCTAATTTGCACAGAGTAAGCTTGGGAAATATCTCATATAAAGTTTCAACAATGTTTATTCATTCCTCTTATGCACTCTGTACTTTTAAGAATAATCCTTGAATTTGATATAGTGTGTTTCGCATTAGGGGGATGTCTCAAAGCACTTTCCAGGATGTATTGTAAAGTGTAGTGACTGTATTTTGGAAGAGAAGTCTGTAATGCTCTATGCTTTGGGATTTGAACCCAGGAGTGTTGGGCAACACTGTCGCAGTGCACTATTTTCATGGTAAAGAAGGTGCTGTAAGATATTTAAAATAGTCTCCCTGCAAGGCTCTTCCTTTCAGTGTTACCATAGCAACAGATCCTGAGATATAAATGCCTGCCTGGCTTTGTTCCTTCCTACATTAAACTCACACTCCCACCCCCACTCCCACCCCTTCCATATCTTTTTTTCTCAAAAATGTAATAGTCTACATCAAATAAACTTAACACATCAAAAATGTCAATAATTCTCACCATAAACATGTAGGTCACATTTCCTTAAGGTCACACACAATGATTCATTCTTTTAAAGTTCGTATTCCTTTTGGAGCAGTGGTTTACATCATTCTCCGCTCAGTCACTCCTTTCTGCAGCCAATGGTGACAACAGCTTTTTTTTAAAATGCATTTCTTCCATTATGACCACATTTGGATCTTCCATTTAGGCTGATGCTTTATCCTGAAGATGGGTGTATCAACAAGGAATCTGCCCAATGTAAAGTGCAAGGTTATGTTCTTTCAAGTAAGAAATCTAAAGCAATTTCATGGTATTAACACAAGCTGTGTCATCAATACCTTCATATAACAATGCACAATGTTGCAATTTATATGTGACTAAATCCATGTAGAGATTTGCACAGTTGGGACCATCAATTGTATAAATATCATAACCTTAAGGGCAGTTATTGTAGTGCAAATAAAAAATATCAGGAACGAGGTGTTTATACAAAACCCTCCAAGAATTAGCTTTGTGCTCGAATTGCTGTATATGTACAACAGATTCCCAAAATAGGTGAACAATTTGTTTTCTGTTCGCATTAATCTGACTCTGAGGAGGAATAATTAATAGTTGGAAATGACCTTACTTGAATGCAGTTTTCCCCACTGGGAGGAAAAAAACAACGAAAGATCTGTTGAGTTCTTCTATGTCTGCAATGAATTATTTAATGCAATTTGATCTCAAACACGCATATGACTTTAAGCTTTTAGAGCTCAGTTCCATTGCAACAAATTGTTAGTGATACACTCCATTCTCTTGAAACTGGTCAGGTTGAGTGACCTTTTAGAGACCATTTTAGAGCAAAAATGGCATTAACACTCTTGTTTGAAATTGTGATAGTATAGAGCCTTTTACTTAAGAACCTGGTGACCTCTAAAGGGCTCAAACATCTAGTAAATTGTAGAAACCTTGTAGAAAGTAATAACTTACCAACCCATTTGCCATATTTTTTTTTAAGACATTCTCAGCGTTGAAAGCCACTTAACTTTACAAATAAGTAAGTCAATATGCTGCTGAAAAGGTTCTACCTGAAACTGCACTTTTTGGTTAGCGGAACTGAATTCTTCTTCCATTTCTCTCCATTAGAAAGCATTTTATTGAATAACAGTTGAATTACAATTGAAAAGTACACTTAAAATTCAGGAACACGAATGACTAGCAGGACCCAGAAAAGATGCCTTGAGAATGGGATTTGCCTTGATAATCAGCAACAGAGTGAGGCGAAATGTAAACATTGGCTTAAATCATTCCTGGCTTCAAGAAATTTTAATTTTAAAAAAAAATATATTAATTACATACCCCTACGTCTGTATTACACACCCCTAAGTCTGTACATGAGTCTTACATGTGTCAGCCGGCCTCAGTTGGTTTGTACTCTCTGAGTGAGAAAGTTGTGGGTTCAAGCCCCACATTAGGACTTTGAACTCAAGACTGATACTCCAATGCAGTGTTTCAGGAGCACTGCATTGTATGAGATGCTGTCTTTTGGGTGAGATTATAAACTAAGGTCCCATCTACCTGTTCAGTTGGACGTTAAAGATCACATGGCACTAGTTGAAAAGAAAAGTATATACATATATATAGATGGATGGATAGATATATGTAAGAACCCGTATTTCTGCACAAGATGCTAGAAATGTTGCAATGAACATGATAGCTTATGAATGCATTCTTCCTTTTCACCAATGTTGACAGTATGTTTCTTTCTTTTGACTGTTCCCTGTTCCATATATTGAGGAAAACACAATATTATTTTCAATTAATCCTCTGATGGAACTGGAGATTAAGAACTCAGCATCTGAATACAGAAGCAAAAACTCTATGTGTCACAGTACATTAAATCGCCAATGAACCTTGGCACCAGTATACTCATACATATATTGTTGGAATATCTACCATGTGTTCTCAAAAGCCATTTGTACTGCAAACAATGGGTATCAATTCCAGTTGACCATTTGTATATTAGGCACCACAAATAAGCAATTACAAAAAAGTGTCAAGATGTTGGTCATTATTATTCGCAACAAAAAAATATGTCATTATCTTACCCTTCGAACCATCCTTAGTCTTTCATATTGTGACTCTCCTTATGGGATACAACTGAAATAGAAAGGATTGCATCAGACTCTGGTTCAGGCTTGTTCAATAGAGCGTGTTCATTTGCTTCAGAAAGGCAGAATTGTTTGAGATAAACAGTATGAATCCAACGGATGTGAGTTGAAGGGCTGGTTTGACCAGTCCATTGATACAATTGCTTAATTTGATTAGATATATCTCTGGATCATACCAATGCAATTTGATTGCCTTTCTATAATGATGGCAATGACACTATTGTGAATTTCAAAGAGAATCCTCTCATCTCATGTTCCCTTTTCATTTTCTGAAAGCACTGACAGATGCAGTTCCACTTGCTCCAATCACACTTCATTCAAGAATAGAAGGTAATTCCATTATTGTCATTCAACAGTGCATCAGTACCAAGCATGATATTATCTATACCCAATCTTCTATCAAGCACTTGCTGGCAAGAGTTAATTGATTACGATCAAGAGTGGGAACCCTTGCTGAACGTTTATTTCTCTATTCCAAGAGAACTAGAACTAAAACTGCGACTAATTTCAGTTTCCTACTATCAAGCAGGTTGAGAGTAGGAACTCAGCACCGACCTTGAGAATGGGACCTTCTAAATCTGGGTGGTTCAACAGTACATGAACGAGAGCTTTGTAAATTGAATAGACTTTTTCTGGTGAGAGTTCAACCGAATCTGCATAGCATGATGTCTAAATGTAAGTTGACCTAACAGCAGAGAATAATCACATTAAGTTAGTGGGCTTTCGATTTTATTTTCCATAGCAGTAACACTGATCCTAATTCTTTAGTAGGGAACTTTAACATCATTCATCGAGCACTGGACCTTCAAACACTGTACTTTGAGGAGAACTCCATCAACACCACACATGTGACTGCCAATGAATAATTTTATATGACGATGAAAAACAATTTATATATGTATCAAATAGTGAACAATTGAATTCACATTCTGTGTTATTGAGACAGCATTCTTGCATGCTTTTGAGAGCTTCATTATCTGTGAAATAAATGATGTGCCTGGAGCATGGCATGCAACTTCCAGGCTCAAATGTCAGTGAACAGATAATGGAACTAACTTTCGGTCAGACCTTCAGGTGTATTCAGTTCACTGACTACTGCCAATGTTCTGCAAATTCTCACATCACTGCTAAATACAGTGCAGCACATAGTTTCCAGCAAGTACTTAGAAAATACTGCCGCAATGTGCCCTGCTTAAATTCATTGCCTTTCAAGGAGGTGCTTGCCAGCAGCTCTAGGCATCAAACTATGATTGGCTATCCATGAGACTGAAGTCAGGGTGTGCATTAAAAAAAATGCATCTCTGATATATTGAAGCAAAGTAGAAAACATTTTAATTAATTTCTCACAGTGAGCAAACTACAAAGACAAAATCTCTGAGGGGAAATGGTATTGTGGCACTGAATATTATTTATACAGACTGGGCTTGTCCAGGGTAACATTTCCATTTTATCTACAGTGCCGTATTTCTATTTCAGGAATGCACAACATCTATACATGTGTCCTGCTGGCACTATATACATAGAGGGAATTGCAGTGAAACTCCCATCTACATTTGAATATTAACCATTGTGCTATGCTGATAGAATGTGGCTAGAATATTTGAAAAATACACTTTGAGCTTTGATATTGTTTGGACAGATATTGTCCTGCAATAATCTATTACCTTCAGTACATTTTTGGAATTAATACAAATGTTATCAGGTGGAATGTCATAAGGGTACGAATTACACCAAAGAAAGATTTCCGAAAATATTTTAGACTTTTGCTTGCCTGAAGCAAAGAAAGGTATGAAAAAATAGTTCTGGGGTTACATTCAATAAATGGTGCTTTTTTTCTTTGTATTTGAATCTCTTCAAAACAGGAAATGTTAATAATAATCCTTGCGTTTGACATAGCACCTTATTACGTCTCGAGATATCTCAAAGTGCTTCAGAATATACTGTAAAGTGAATTGACTGTATATTTTGTAAGCGAAAGAAGACTAGTAGCAGGTAATGATTGAGAAAACATTTCATAGACAAGAAATATATTGGAGGCTTTTGCTGATGTTTCCTTTAAATCGTTTGGAATGGTATAGAATAATATAGTGTTGTATTATTTCATTTGATTTTCGTATGCACACAGCAGTCCATCATACTCTTATGATCGTACCCCAATCGTAACTCTTTGAAGGGCTTGCCACATCTCTCCATAGTCACAGAAGGTATTAAACCAGACATCTTTAACAAGCTTTCTGGTCTTAATGGCTTTGGACTATGCTGAGCTCACAAAAAAATGCTTTTCAGCAACCTGACCATCAGAACTGCAGCAACTGATCAACTGTGTTGTAAAACATCAAAGCGCTCTGTACTTTCCACTGGTTTTGGCAGCCATCTTTGCTACTCGTTTGCCCCCAGAGTAGATTGGTTGTGATGACTGAGCAGAGGACCCAAATGCTGTAATTGAAGTGAACTGACTGTCTCAAAGTAAGTTAGGAGTGGGTTTCCAAAGCAGAAGTCAGTTTTTTTTATGTTATTGATTTTTTTTCAAAGCACCGAGGAAAACATACCATTTTGTCCATTCTCTTTCCAACTCCTGCTCCACAAATACATACTGAATTAGTTTCAAATCTAGTGGATAGCATAGCACATATGTGATTTAAAGCCCATTTCAGATGACTCATTTCAGAATTACACAAGATTTAATATAGTAAAAATAATAGTGCCCTTCATCTGTCAGGAGGACATTTCAGACACTTCAATGGATTTACTGTGAAGTCTAGTGACTGTGTATTTTGTAGGTGAATCCTAAATTCATTATGTCCTCTCAATGTGAAAGGCACTATACCAATTGGTTGTTGTTGTTTTATATTACACATACCTTCCCCTGTTACAGTAGTCTTAATAAATCCCTTTCCTAAAATGTATTATTTCGGTCTGTGCTCTGCATTTGAGACTTTGTTCCATTTCTCATGTACTTTGTCATGTCACGTTGCAGATGTACACCATCCTCCCATATCCATCCTTATTGACTTTGGAAAGCAGAGAAAACTATTCTTAGCTTGGCAATTTTTATCCTCTTTTAAATGTTCTCTTTATATCAGCGTTGATAAGAAGTCCACACAATTGCAGTAATAATCACAGGGTAACTACTTGACAGACAATAATAATAGTTGCACTTAATCTAGCACAGTACACTTTGGGAGAATGTCTCAAAGCGCTTCAAAGGATTTACTGAAACTTATAGTGACTGCATATTTTGTAGGCAAACACGACAGCGAATTTGTGCACAGCAACAAATGACCAATTTTATTTAGGGGATTCTTGGCCAGGACACCAGGGAAAATCTCTTTTCTTTTTGAGTAGCGCCACAGGATTTTCTATGTCCACCTAAACAAATAGACTTGGTTTATCACCTCAACCAAAGAACCAATTCTCTGACATTGCAGCACACCCCCAGGACTGTGATGGAATGTCAGTCTAGAATTTTTGAGTTCAAAGTCCTGATGTGAGTCTGATTCAGAGATGAAAGTACGACAAACTGACCAGGCTAATACACAGAAATGTACCTCTCAGAATTAGTCTGGTGCTGAACATCACCTTCCCTTTTCTTCAAAGGTCACCTTTGTTTGTGTCATATATCTGACTCCCATGAAGAAATTGAACTTGGATTTTCATTTTCTCTTTTAGGACTTTCAGGACTCAGTGATGTGATTAAGGATGAAAATGATAATTCAGTCTTTGTAACCCTTTGGGGATGAATTTTGAAAACTTTATTTCATCTTCACTGCCATGATCATAGATCATGATTCACTTCGTAGATCATGATGCTCTGAAAATTTTAACAAATCTTTAAAGGAATAGCATATATACTCTCAGGGCTTGATATTTCGTTGGCATCAGTTCTTCGTATTATTTAAGCCCGAATTGCTACAAACTGACTGTGATAAATTAACTAAACTAACAAAGTTCTATCTTGCTTATAAGTTAAATTGGTGGATCATTTCATGGCTGTTTACGAGGAATCTTTGTGTGCAAATTGGGTGCCAGGCTCATCTGCAAAATGCGCTACACTTTACAATAACCGCTTTGAGACGTCTCCTCAATATGAAAGATGCTACATCAAATGTAAGGATTATTATGTTTGTGGTGTCAGAGATGACACAGGAGTACAGACAAAACTGACATGTAACAGGGTCGCAAGTCCAACATAAAGCTTTATAATGATTTTTTTTATTAGTATGTTACAAAATTGCTCAACTGGAACAATAGAACTTCAGAACTGGTTGAAGAGATAATTATTATACTCATTGCTGGTGCAATATTCTTCCTGCCTTCGTTATAAATATGTCGAAGTGATTTTCCCTATTACTTAATCACTTTCGAATCATAGAATCACAGAATTTTGCAGCACAGAAGGACGCCATTTGGTCTATCATGCCTGTGCCGGTTCTTTGAAATAATTACTACTAGTCCCTGCTCATACCACATAGCCCCACAATTTTTTTCTTTTCTAAGTACCTAGATTCCCTTTTGAAAGCTATTATAGAATCTGCTTCCACCACCCTTTCAGGCAGTGCATTCTAGACCGCCACAACTTTCTGGATAAAACAATTTCTCCTTGTCTCCCCTCTGGTTCTTTTGCCAATTATCTTAAATGTGTGTCCTCTGGTTACTGACCCACCTGCCAGAGGAAACTGTTTTTCCCTATCTATTCTATCAAAACCCTTCATAATTTTGAATACCTCTATTAAATGTCCCCTCAACCTTCTGTGTTCTAAGGAGAATTATCGCAGGCTCTCTAGTCTCTCCACATATTCGCAATCCCTCACTCTGGTATCATTAGTGTAAATCTTCTCTGCACCCTCTCCAAGGCCCCATAAGCTTTTCTGGATGGTTAATGTATAGTACGTTTCCCCATTCAGTTTTGTCACTTTTTTTGGTTGTAGAAAATTTTCAAACAAGCCAAAGTGCACACAAGTAGCAATGGATCCTCTGGTTGAGCAAAATGGA